GATATGCTCCTTGATGCGGCACTAGATGTTCGATCACTGACCTCTTTTGTTATGGAATATGATGGGACGTAGCTTGTAAATACCTATTCGTCTGTCTTCTTACGATATACTCCCAGTTCCATGCCTCCATCTGTCTTCATTGTGACCAAATCTTCCAGGAAAGATAACTGTTTAGCAGATTCGGTGTCCATGATAAATTTGATCATCGGGTGTTGCAAGGTTAGGTGGTCTAAGACTTCCTGGAGACACTATTTTCCAAGATCGACACGCGGACTCTTCCTTAATGCTTCTTCCTGGAAGATCTCCTTCGTAGATGTAGAAGACACCCCTTCGCATTGCTCGTAGAACTCTCCCTTCCACCTAAAATATGTGAATACCAAACAGTACTACACTCGCCCAGGAACATACTTTGGTAAGCCTTTCAGGATGAGCGTCTGTCGAAAATCATCCATGGCATATTTGACTGGTACTCTAATAAAGGGAGATTCCATATCGAAATTTAATTATCAGGATATACTGTGGTCTAACTTCATAGTTTTGATTGATTCCACTCTATTTCTATTGTGATCTTTGAGGTTCTTGTAGGTTGAATTTCTCGTGTTTTTCGCCTGTTGTACTTTTCTCATTCGCTATTTTTGCTCCGAGTGGTCGAAATCGTCGCTAATACCTCGTCTACTTTTGACCTCTATTATGTGAGGTTGAAGTTTTACATCAACAATGAAGTGATCTGGCATGTTAAGTCTGTGATCATCTGGATGATCTATCAGGATAATCTTAATATTATATTTTCGAGTGGATAAATTGAAGTTCCCTTTCATATTTAAGAACATAATGTGCACATGAAACTGTAATTAAACAATTGAGCATCAGCTTACATAATCCAGGATTGTATGCTCTAAAGTCTCCTATGAGGATTTTTATTGTATTCTTTATAAACAAGAAGCCTGTGCCCAGTGTGTGTTCCGATGGGCTACACTTATAAATGTTTATATGATTCTCCATCGTTCCAGATTCCGTCCATCTCGTCTCTTGGAGGACGATGACGTAAAGTGCATCCTTGTCAGTTTATCTTACTAGGTTCCGTAGTGCACCCAGGCTGCGCAGAGTCCTTATATTCCAAGTCGCAATTCGAGTTNTGAATACCTATGCAATCTCTTGGTCCCAACGAAAATGGTAAATAAGCATTTGCTGGGATTTTGGTGGAATTTTCTGGAAGAAATCTTTCGGGTTTAAACTTTGTGGGGTCTTCAAAATTTAAATAATGAGACCCGATTATTGAAAAGGTTACATCGATGTCACCCGGAAGAACTTTATCATCTAAAAATTTTTTTATTAAAAAGCTGATCTGCTATAGAATTAATTTACCGATTTCTGCCGGTTTAATTAAAGTTCTAAATATAAATGGAACTGGAGGATAAAGTCTTAAACTTTCTTTCATAACGCAATCAGCAAAACTCATTTGTTGAATATCTCTAAATTCTGCGAAAACCTTTTCGTCGAATCCTACAATCGAAATGTATTCCTGAAAAATTTTTTCTTGTAATTCAGGTTGTTTAGCAAGTTCATAAAGAGCAAAACCAGTTGCAGCTGAAACTGTATCGGAACCCTTCAAAACATAATTAAAAACTAATATAATGTAACAAGAGTAAATAATTACAGCAACAACAAATGTTCGAAGATGCGCTAAAATTCTATCATAACTCAAACCAGATTCTAAAAGTAAATCAATAAAATCTTTTCGAAAACTTTCATTCGGCGATTTCTTTTTTAATTCGACAACTGTTTTTAAAGTACTTTCAATAAATTCCGTAGCTTCCTCAGAACATTTGTTCCAAATTTTATAATTATTGGTTAATTTAAATATGTTATCGTTCATTTTCAATGGGGAATTGATTCTATCAAAATAAACTTCGAAAAATGTTTTCAAAGCTGTGCTATAACGATTTACACGATCATCTTGGTTACTAATATCTTCATTAAGTAATATTTCTAGAAAACAAATTTTTTTGATGCATAAATACTTATTGTATTTTTTACCATAAACAATGTTTAATCCATGTCTTAATAACAACATTTGCAAATCAACGGGTTGATTTAAATTTTCATTAATCGCATCGCGCAGTTTAATGGCGTGTGTTTTAATTGTTGATATATAATCGATGTTGAATTGATTATTAAATACGTGTGAAATCGTTTTTCGTTCTTGTCTCCATAAATTCACTAAAAAAAATTTTTTTTACTTCAATATCTAAATAATAACAAGAGATATTAAGAGGTTATTTAGAATTTTAGATAACTCAGTGTAAAACGTAATTACTATCGCTCATAATGGGTAATCCGTTTCCTATAAATGCTTCCAGTAATTCAAATAAACTCGCTTTATTAACATGTTCTTTCGATAATAAAATATGTTTAATAAATTTTTCATCGGAAACGAGGAGAGTTGGTTTAAAAGGTTTGATCCATATTTTAACAACTGGTCCATATTTGTTGTTTAAAGAAACGAAGAATTTATAAGAATCTAAAAAGAATACGTTTCAAAATAAAATTAAATCACAAAATTAAGAACTTACCAACAGTCGATTTCGGTAATAATACAAATTTTAATAATTCTAATGGAGTTGGTCCAGGATAATCATCAATTATCTTGTACTTATTTGTTTGATAAAAGTAATAAAGTGTAAAAAAAGATATTAAACCCATAAAAAGTATCAACAACATTTCGGATATGTTTGTTTAACACAACTGAGGAAAGATTAAATTTAAAGTATTTTTGATATCATATATATAACTGATCAGAGTTATTAATAGCAAACTGTTTGACCTTAACATTTTATCATATTTAAAACTACCTTTGAATTTTAATTAAATATAAATCGCCTTGATAATTTGCAAGACCAGTTTTAAGCGAATTTAATTTTAATTAATTCAAATGAAAACAAATAAAATGAAATTCATCTTCTTTCGCAAAATAATTCGTTTTATGAAGTGTACATATCGTTAAGAGGCAAAACATAATTTTTATATTTAACTTGTTGAGTTCTCACATGTATGTACGTACATAATTATAATACAATTGAATCGAATTAAAAATGACCAAATCATGCCAGACTAGTTCTGATACAGTGGCAGAATAATAATAATGACGTTTATTGTGCACAAATATACATATGATACGATAAATATATATAAACACTTGGATAACCTCATATACCGGGTGATTCAGACCACCCGTACCAGGGATTTTTCTCAAAAACGTGATTACCTAAGAAGTTGCAATAAAAAATATGATAATAAAATAGTATATGAAGAATCCAATGCACCAGTTTTTATCATGCTGGTAACACCGGAAATTGGTGGTAATGACATCAACTTAAAAATTTTCCAAGTTGTCATATAAATTAGCTAAAATTTTGCTTTAACCCTTCTTAGATTTAATGCAATGTTTAAGTGCTATTGATGATTGCAGAACAAAAAAAACGAACGTAAAGAAACTTTAACGTTCAAAAACGTTGCCATCAACAGCCACACACCTTCTTGCTCGCCTCCTTACAGCATTAACTGCACCACGAATTTCGTTAGCGCTAATGGACTGGCATGCTCGACGAATTCGCAGTTTCATATTCTCCCTTATTGTAGGCGGTTCCATGTAGACTATTTCTTTTATTCGGCTCCACAGGAAAAAGTCCAGTGGCTATTCTACTGAACCCCCACGACCAATCCAACGCATGGGATAATGTCGGTCAATTACCCTACGTCCAACAACTGCAAAATGTGAAGGACACCCATGGTGTTGATACCACATTGTTGTCCTTACAAGTAAGGACACATCGCCCAAATAGTAAATGTTCAGCACATTTTGTACAAATTGGGCGTATGTTTCTCCATTTAGAGCCGTATCAAAGAAATGTGGACCAATTATTTACTCTCCTATAATACTACACCACGTGTTGAGGGTCCATAAGTGTTGATTGTCAACATATCTCACCCAATGCGGATTTTTCCTTGCCCAGTTGTGGGTGTTATGAAGATTTACCTCTCCATTACTTTTAAAAAGCGATTCATCGGTCCAAAGAACACGTCTAGGAAAATCGTCGGCTTGATCCAAAATCCAATTACAAAAAGCCAGCCTTCTTTCAAAATCTCGTCCATCAAGAGTGTGATGGACACTAAGATGGTATGGATGCAAACGATTTTCCTTTAATATTCTCCATACTGTTGATTGGCTTAAGTCTATCGAAATCCGGCGTGTAGAAACGTGTGGATTCAAGTTCACCGCTTCAAGAACGTCAGCAGTACTTTCCTCTCTTCTGACTCTTCGAATCAGCAAGCCTTTGTTCTGAGTTAACAGTGACCTTTATAAATTCATCCATGATTATGATGCACAACAGAGTACTGAGACCGTCACCTTGACGAATGTTTGTTGTAGTTCGGAGATGTTGTCTTAGAGTGAAGTTTCGTATTTGTATAGTTTGTGTTTAGGTTCTTAATAAGTTCTATGTATTCTTTCGACATATTATGGTTTTCCAGGGTCGTGATATCATCTTTTAGTTATACTCTGTCGAAAGTCTCGATTAGAAAACCTATACTTTATAGGTATTTCTACCAGTTGTCTAAGAATGAACAGTGCATCACAGTGGTGTGGTATAGTGGCGGCGACAGGGGCGCCTTTTAGGGGACAACAAACTTTCACAATAAATAATATCTTGTAAAAATTTGAACCATTTGAAGTTTTACGTACTTGGATGATCTCCTTCCAAAGTCAATACACCCAATGGATCAAAGCTTTGCTCATCTGATGGATGTAATACTTGATGGAAATTAAATCCTAAGGTTTCAAGTCACGAGTCTAGTGGACTACACAACCAAAATTATTGTAAATGGAAGGAGTTGGAGACCAAACATAAAAAAAGAACAGACTATTGACAAAATAGAAAAAAAACTTAGTGGCAGAGGAAATAAAAAATGGTAAGAAATTCTTATCAAAATGTTTGATATTATAAAATTCCTTGCTAAATAAAATTTGGTTTTACATGGCCGTAGAGAAAACTATACCATTACTAATAGAGGAAACTTTGTGCATTTAATTACAAAGTATTATCCTGTACTTCGTAAACATCTGTAAGATCAAAAATGTGTGCAAAATTTCAATAACGAATATGTCTCCAGAAATCTAAAATGAATTTATAGCAATTTTGGGAAGTAAAGTTCGCCAAGATCTCATTGGACAAATAAAAAAGGACAAGGATAATTCGATTATATTCGACAGCACTCCACATATTTCTCATAAAGACCAAACAAGTCAGGTATTAAGAAACATAGTAATTGAAAATCAGGAAGTAAAAGTAATGGAATCATTTATAAGTAGATTTCATTGAAACACAACTGTAGAGATAAAACATATGTTAATACTACTATTATGGCTGGAAGAGAAGAAATAAAGAAATAAATCCCAAAGTTGAATTTGTATCTTGCTCAAATCATTCATTAAAGTTGGTTTGTTTACACACTGCCTCCGTTAAGGCAAGTTCAATAACTTTTTTCGGTACATTAGTATTGCATTTTTTTTTCCATATCCACACATCGTTGGGAAGTTCTGATAGCAGCTACAGGCAAAAGTTTAAAAAGGGTTCAAGATACGGTGGAGTGGAAGAGGCGATGCTGTATATGAATAACATTGCATCATTATAAAGACATTCTCATCGCTTTAGAAAAACTGACAGATACAGGTGAAAGCTTACACAGGAACAGATACAGGAAGGTTGCTATTTATGATGGCGTCATTTTCCTTTATTTGTTTGGCGCGCCTCTGGGAACCGGTACTACATGAAGTAAATGATGCACAAAAATATTTACAAAGAAAGGGTTTTGACATAATATTGTGCGCTCAGAAAGTAAATGCTGATGAGATTGTACTACAGAAATTTGCATACTTTAATTATAAAACTATTTATCTATCTGATATTGACCTTCTTTCTTTCTGTTGAGCAATAATTGATGATTCCAGAATAATTTTTTGAATTTTTGTTGAGTATATATAGTAGAGAGCTCGTTAATAAGTGACGTGAAGGTTAAAAGCACATTTTTGTGATTTTTTGTTCATCTTGTACTTGCATAAAATTTCCACCAACGTTAGCTCATAATCTTTTAGAAACTTTAACATTCTAGATTAATAACATTGAGAGCTCTATTGATATCAGATACAACACTGACCATGATCTGGAAATTCCATCGTGTTATCCCATGTAAATAAACTGCTAAATAATGTACTGAATGACAGAACATTCCGAGTTGTTATGGAGTCCAATATGAGGTCACTAAGAAAGC